ACAGGGTTGCCTGTGTAGCATCCAGGTCCTTTTCACAAGACATGCCCTTTACCCCCTTGGGAAAGCTGGCCCTGGGAAATGCATCCATACTTCCAGCACAGAGCCATTCTTGGGGTGTCTTAATAGACATAATTAGGGTTGCCAGCTTGCTCAGTCCTACTGAGAATACCCCTATACCAGGGGTCCCCAACCTTTTTGGTCCTAGGGATGGGTTTTGTGGAAGACAATTTTTCCACAGCCAGAAGCTGGGGTGGGGATGGTTCTGGAAGGAAACTGCTCTGCCTCAGATCATCAGGCATGCGCAGTTCACAATAGTGTTCATGTTCTTATGAGAATCTAATTGCTGCCACTGATCTGACAGGTGGAGGAGCTAAGGGTAATGGTGCCTCAAGAGGAAGCTCACCTCCTGCTGGGCGGCCCAGTTGCTAACAGGACACAGACGGATAAGGTCGGGAACCCTGCTTTACATGATCCATCCTTCCCTGAGTGGCCATGTCATCTGGTAGCCCTTTGGGTAGTAGTCAACTAGGAGTGAACCCTGATTCACACACTTGTCATTTCAGTGACTCATTACTTGTGTTCCTGACTGAAAAAGATAATATGGGTCAGTAATTTATTTCCTACAGGAATGAAGTTTTTTTTTTTTCTCAGAAAGAAAAAGGTTGCTAGTGATTGTATTAAGAGGAAAGGCCATATGCAAACTGGAACAGAGGAAGCTGCTTAGCTTGCAGATGCTTAGGAGGAAGTGGCACCACAGAGGCTGTGCTGTCCCTGAGCGGTAGATGGACAGTATAACCCAGTTCCTAATGTGTTTTGGGTTTCCATTTCTATGAAGCTTTCATGAGATTCCATGGTATTATTTTCTTATAACTCTCCTAGCTACCTAGAGTGAGTCTCTCTATTCCTTACAACCAAAATAAGATGAACGAAATGGATCTACATTATGCCCTGACTTTGACATTAGCTCCTGTGATTATTGATGGGGGCTGCAGTACACTGGAAAGAGCAATGGACTGGGACCCAGAGACCTCAGTTTTGGTTCCATCCCAGCCACTGGTCATGGTGAGGCCTTTAGTTAGGCAGTTGACTTCTCTGGAGCTCAGTTTCTTCGCTTGTAAATGAAAGTGAGGAGTTTAGATTATTTATGATGGTCCCTCGGAGGGAGGGACTATCAGTTCTATGACTATTCCGATACAATACCTTTCACAGTGACAGGTACTCTTGCTGATGTGTAGCGATGCCGTCCCATGCCTGAGCAATGGTAGATTCCATTGTGACTTATGTTGGTTTTCGGAATGGTGAGATTAGAGTTCCCGGGGAAAGACTTGAGGACTTTGCCATTTTGATAGTAAAACACATTGTACACCAGCTTATTCTTCCATGCATGACACCTCAATGCCAGAGGCTCTCCTTCCATGAAGACTCTGCTGGAGACCTGGAGTAGTAGCCAGTCTGAAAAATGTGAATTCAAAATGTATGCATACAGTGGAGGAGGTACAAGGAAGCCCGAGTTTGGCTGTGGGGCTTTCTGTTTTTTCTCCTTGAAACATCCAACCTCAGAGCTCTGCTAAATCTCAGGCCTATATCCAGTTCCTCAAATATCTTTAGCTTTAGTGGAAATAAAGGCAATCTTTACTGGCAACTGTGCACACAGCCCTTTCTTGTCTTCCCTTTCCAGATCTCAGAAGTTGGTTGAAACAAAAGCAGTTCATACAGCATGGTAGGCAGAATTCTAAAATGATCCTAATGACTCACTCCCTTGTGTAATCCCATTGAGTGTGGGTAAAACCTGGGACTTGCTTCTAGCCAACAGAATATGACAAAGAAGATGGGATGTTACTCTTGGGATTGCTGCATTGTGAAGACTCTATCTTAGCAGACTGGATGAAGAAAGTCTCCTCCTGACCTTGAAGAGGTAAGCTGCCATGCTGGGAGAGGGCCACAAGGCAAGGGCCTCTGGGACCTGAGAGTGGCCCCACATTGACGGGCAGCAAGAGAGCGGGAACCTCAGTACTATAACCACAAAGAACTGAATTCTGCCAGTGACCTTTGAGCCTGGAAGAGCTTCAAAAGAAACACAACAAAGTCAACACCCTGACTGCAGCCTTGGAAGACCCTCAGCAGGGCACTCAGCCAAGCTGTGATGGCAGTCCTGACCCATGGAAACGAAGATCAAAAATGTATGTTGTTGCAAGCTGCTAAAAGTCTTTCACAGCAATAGAAAACAAATACACTCCACCTCTTGACAAATTTGTTAATAGGACCACTCATCCTAAGACAAACACTCAGAAGGGCAAACATCAGATATAAACATCTTACTACTTTGACAGGAATACTCACATAGTAATGATATCTTTAGCAAAACAAGCTCCAAGTCAATGGGTTCTTTCTTTTGACATACACCTCTGCACATAGCCAAAAATGCTTCACCTACTTCTCCAGAGGTGGTTGATTTGGCTAAATAAAAATGGGGTTCTTAGGAGACCAGGGAGGAGAAGAGAAAATAATGCTTTTTCCCTCTTCAGAACTTATCTAAGAATGGAAGAAGGCAGGTGTTTCTATGCTATATGTAGCATGAATTTTGCAGTCATGGATATTGACATAACGCTTCCAAATATAATTAATTCTCTTCCCTCCCTTATTCCCACCCACAGCCAGAAGGTGCTGGAAGATTGCACTGCCTGAACACTGACATCTTTACATATCCAAAAGAGTGGGAAATTGTAACACTTCCATCGGAAACCATCAAACACTAGTAATTGTAGAAAATATTTGAATGACACAATTAATAGAATTGATTTTGTGGGATGCTATACTTTAGAAAGAAAATTCATATGCTCTCTAAACACACATGCAATGTAAGAAAAATTAAGTGTGAACTAGGCCACAAAGCATTTTTCAACAAATACTAATGAACTGATACTAAATTTAACACAAACTCTAACCAAAGTGCCACAACATTAGAAATCAATAACAAACAGCCTCCAAAAAACTTCTAAATAATTCATGAATAAAAAGTGTCTAATGGAAATTTGAAAACTTTTAACCTTAAGAGGTGATGGGAGTATTACAAATCAAAACTCACGAGATGCAGCTTTCAGCAGACATTACTGATTTCCTACTCAACAATCATTCGCCCATCTTCGTGCCCTTGGAGTAGGTCGGGGACACCCGTTTTCAGCCATATGATTAGGATTCAGGCTCACCAACCAGCTGCATTTTTTTGGTCTCAGCATATACAGATTAAATTGAAATGCCTAAGGGTCGGTGAGCTGCAATTGAATCTCCCACGGCTGACTGTGGCAAAATATTTTAAAGTAGGGCATGACGGCACCATCCTCAAATTTTGGTGTGTTTTTCTGTAGTAAAATTAAGAAGTGTTGTTCATTGAAAACAAACAAACAAAACTAATATGATAGTGAAAAGACAAACCACAGAATGGAGAATATATTTAAGACACTTGAAAAAGGACTTATATGCAGATATCCAGAATATATATAAATAACTCTTGTAAGTCAATAAGAAAAAGACAATAGGGCCGGGCGCGGTGGCTCAAGCCTGTAATCCCAGCACTTTGGGAGGCCGAGGTGGGTGGATCACAAGGTCAAGAGATCGAGACCATCCTGGTCAACATGGTGAAACCCCGTCTCTACTAAAACTACAAAAAATTAGCTGGGCATGGTGGCGCATGCCTGTAATCCCAACTACTCAGGAGGCTGAGGCAGGACAATTGCCTGAACCCAGGAGGCGGAGGTTGCGGTGAGCCAAGATCGCGCCATTGCACTCCAGCCTGGGTAACATGAGTGAAACCTTTTCCTAAAAAAAAAAAAAGAAAAAGAAAAAGAAAATAGAAAAATTGTCAAAAAGACCTTACAAAAGAGGATACCCAACATGTGAATTGTCAATATCACAGTCATTAGGGAAATGCTGAATTTGCATTTATATATCCAAAAGAGTGGGAAATTGTAACATACCTCCATCAGAAACTGTCAAATACTATAATGCTAGGAAATATTTGAAACATGTAAAAAAAAAAGGTCCACAGCCACAAGAGGTCAAAACCAGAAACAATCCAAACGTCCCTTAGTAGAACGGGAAAATGTGAAATATACATAAATAAGAACAAATGAACTTCAGTTTATACAGTTCACAATCATCATGTTGAGAAAAAGAAACCAGATACAAAAGTGTACGTCCTGTCCCGTGCTGTAGCCCTTTATATGAAGTTCAAAAATAGGCTGAAAACCTATGGTGCTGGAAGTCAGTGTCAGGGGGTGGACTCGACATGGGCAAGAAGGAGCTTCTGGGGCACCGGAAATGTTCTATTTCTTGATCTGGATGCTGTTTACTTTGCAAAAATTTACTGAGGCGTCCACTTATGGCTTGTCGTACATAGGTTATATTTCAATGATAATTCACATTAAAACGTAATGTACAAAAGATATGAGTCTCAATAAGTCACCGATGCTGGTTGTCCTAGAGTCCGTGTAGAGGCAAAGAAAATGGCCTCTTCCCAGCCCTAGTCTTTTTGTTGTCACTTGAACCGTGAAACACTTCTGCTTGAACTATACAAAATGTCTTGTTGAAACAGCTCTGTCAGAGGTTGCAGTGAGCCAAGATCGTGCCACCGCATTCCAGCCTGGGCGATGGAGTGAGACTCTGACTCAAAAAAGAAAAGAAAACAGAAAAAAAGAAAAGAAAAGAAACAGCTCTGTCAGCTTCCCTCACTCTCCATCCTAGGAATTTATTTACAGAGATCTAAGGGACACATGAGGAACATCTCCCCTCAGACATTCAGACAGTTTCAACACATTTCCTCTAATAGCAACCATGTTTGCATAAAGGTAATTTTGCCTCCAGTGTGGATTAACCTTTGCATTCTCACTTTCAAAGAAGTTTCCGCTCATGACTTCTGAATAACTAAATGTACATTTGGTTATTTTGTCTTGTCTATTGAATGAAGCATTTTTTTCTGAGAATATTGCAGTCTCCATCTCTTGACAAACAGAAACTCCTTAACAGGTTTAAGTGGGTGGTGGGTTTGTCTGCTTCTATTTATTAAAATATGACAATAATTCCACGTTCCAAATATTATCTTATAGATATATTATGAAATGTGCCCCCAGAATGTATGTATAAAGATGTTTACTGCAGCAGTGCTTGTAAAATAAAAAGAATGGAAAGGTCTTAT